GGAGTGTTATATAGGGGGACCCTCAGAGCCCTCTGCTTTTTAATGTAATGGCAGCCAGCATCATGTCAAGTTAACCTTGACAACACAAGGCTACTGATGTGTTGTGATGAGATGGTCTAGCTATCCATGAATTTGACAGAGTTACAGAAATATTTTGATGACCTTAGAAAATGGGCAAAGGAAAACAATATACAGATAAATGAAGAAAAGACAAGAATCATGAAGTTTAGGAAACCTGGAAGATTTGACAGTATTGTGTATCATATAGGTTAGAACTGAATTAGTGCATTTCTATGTGAATAACTTGAAGATATTTGACAGTACAGAAATCAGATATGTGAAAAGACTATAATGTTTATCCAAATACACCCCAAATAGATTTTTATATGCATGTGCTGGAACAGGATACCTTATGTGGACAGTGTGGGTAAAGGCACAAGTTACTTGAAATAACATTGTTTATGCCTCATATAAGGGAAAGACGAGAGAAAACAGAAACTGTCTCAGAATAATTTTATCTCACGTATATAATGAACATAAATTAGTGGGAAGGACCGAATAAAGAATTCTGGCATACATGGGAGTGCACATGATGTGGGTGGAACACATTCATAAAACTTAAAAACTCGCCATCTGCAAAATTGTGAACATCTTAAATATTTCACTTTACTCATATTGTGCGTAAGTTTAGTAACGAAAATGTTTGTTTCTAGATGGCGTTGAATGTATTTACCCCGTTTACGTGGTAGGTGGTCTATATTGTAGTGAAGGAGATGTCATTTCTCAGCTAGTTGCAACGTGGGCCGATAGATGGCAGTGACTACTGTTTCCCAGTGGCTCTGTAGCATGGTAGGAGGTCTGAATGAATGAAGCTTGCCGGGTGGGCTACCCATCGTGTTGGACAGGGGCGAGGGACGAGGAAAGGAATTCTATACCAGACCAGGGGGCAGTCAGCAGTTGTTTTGGGGCTCGAGGCGCCGGACATTCCTTTCGTATCTGACCTCACCTTGCATGGCTGCTCTACTACCCGGAGCAAGAACATAGGCCAGTCACATTTCATACGTAAACTGGAGCTGTCAACATTTTCAGAAGATGGCCGTTTTCTGGGTTGATGAGTGGAGACAGCAAAGACCTCTGAAACGTCGGTAAACTTCTGCCAGACTACACGGCGCAACAACCCAGAAGACAGTCATCTTCGAACTCAATGCCGTGAAAACCTCAAATTCTGCTTGACATTTTCAGTACTTGAGCGTTACAGTTTAGTAAATAGACCGGTTACAAAAAAAAAAAGATTCAGGGTGCTCAGGTGAATATTTTAATCGAAGATGGAGAAGGTAACAGGTGGCTAAATGTGGAGTTTTATTTTTTGTACATTTTGCGAAATGTTGAGGTAAATATTAAGGAGAGTGAAATATGCGGGATGTGTGATACGCTTGGGAGAGATGAGAAATGCACGCAAAATTTTTTTGGAAGAAGACCGGAAGCCAAGGGACAGCGAGGAAGATACAGGCGGGGAGGGTTCTGTTAGGAGAACACATCAGATTCCATGGTGCAGCGTATTTCTTGATTAGTTCATTCATTATCCCAGCTCCATCTGTTGCCGACGTTTTGAAGTTTTCACAAAGTTCAACGGTAACTATATGTCCCGCTCCATGTTGTATTTGTTAGTTTCTTATGATTCTCGCTGTAAACATCGATTATTTCCTTGAACAACATCATGCAGTTGATCTTTTTAATGTTGAAGTGTGGTGTGTTCTTTGCGGTACGGGCTGAATTATTGAATATCATTTAGGTGAGCTTTTTCTTCAAAGGGTTAGATACCTTTATTAACCCTTTGAAGCCGAAGATCGTCTGAATATTATTTATGAATTCAGTCCGTACCGCGAAGAAAACACTACACCTCACCATTACGAAAATCAGCTGGTTAACCGTTTGAAGCCGAAGCTCGTCTTCATAATATTTATGAATCCAGACCGTACCGCGAAGAAAACACTTCACTTAACCATTAGAAGTCGAATCAGGCGGTACCACATAAGATTTAACAAAAGAACATCCCGGTCAAAGCCTTAATAGTCGTCATAAAACACGAAAGAATAAATTGAATACAACAAATAGAGTGAACCGTCAGAGAAATCCACTTCCACAAACATATAAAACGTCTGTCTAACGGAAGAATAGATTAGGAATATCTCAAAAACGAAAATATATGTGTCATATTATACGTTATAGAAGCGTGGTTTTAATTAGTTTCCAGGACAAAATTTGTGTAAACCAGTTTACGTAGTGAGATTGTAGAAACTGAATCATGTATAGGACCTAACCGTTAGGCATTTTGTACTGTATTTCGTGTAAATGTCGTGTGATTATAGCAGTATAATAATATTAAAATTTACAACCCAAACCTACCGTATGCATCCCCTGCTATAACACTCTATAATGCTGTATTTTGACCATATATTGTACTTATGGATTTTGTATGATTCTCAGAACAAACCGTGTTTATTTCCTTAAACAGCTTAGACAAACTGATCTTTGTAATGGAGAAACGTTGTGTTTTCTTTGAGGTAAGAACTAGATTTTAAAATATTGTTTACACGAGCTTTGGCTTCAGGAGGTTAATATGCGTTGAATTTCTGTCCCTTGTTTTCCCACGTATTGCTAGATCCAGAAAGAACCAGCGACCATAACCTCAAATCAAAAAGAAAAATTAGTCAATAGCTGTTTTAATTTACGACGTAAGAATGTCAAGGTATATGCAGAATGGCGCGTAACTAATCTCTTGTAAGAAAGCGTGAGAGTATTCTAGGCAATAATTGCACCAGCTAAATCTTTTACGGAAAAAAAGATTTTTGTTCTGAGTAAAGATTCTCTGCATCCGTTCGGATGTTAAAATTTTTACGAAATTCCCTTTGTGTCAATGAACTTTAGAAACAATTGCTGCACGCTTCTGGGCTCAAAAGCGATTCATAATAATTTCCCAGGCCTCGTCTTTACATCCGAAAAAATACAAAATTAACAAATTAATTTATTCATTTAAAAATGTGTTGATTTATTATGCGCCACTCTGTATATGTCTCGAACATTTTGTTTCGTAGTACCAACTGTTATGTTGGTTTCAAAGTTGTGTGATATAAAACAGGAAATTACTTTTTATCAGACTGCGGAACCTGTGTTCTGTATTTCCAAGAAAACCGAGTGCATGTTGTACAACGCCGTTGAGATGTCACGGTCTGGGAAATTTAAGTCATTACGCCGTG